ACCATGGTTTGAATCCTGGACCTGGCAGCTTGCTTTTTTACTTTCTGTCTCTCACTTTCCCCCTCCCCCTCTGTCCCTCTCTGGTCAAATTTAAATGATGATTAATTTTTTTTTTTTTATTTGACTAGAGCAAGACACAGAGAGGGAAAATGACAAAGGAAGCCCCTAAGTCTGAGACTCTAACCACAGTTGGCTATATAGGAGTTCAGCGCCTTAGCTACCATGCCACCTGCCAGCCCCAATTAATTTTGTTTTTATTTTATTTATTTATTTTTTGGAGAGATTTTTGCTATAGGGCACATACACTTGCCAGAAAGACAGAGACAGACAGATAGAAAACAAGTAATCACCCCTCACAGGGGATGGCCACACCACAATCCCTTCTCCTCCAGCCTCCTCTCGGGATCTTGGGCATGCACACGCACACGCCCGGAGTGAATTTAAGCCAACGAGTCCGGGACTTGAACCGTGGTCAACTGCATGGGAGTTCAGTTAGCCATTAAGCCACACCAACTGCTGGTCCCAATTTTGATTTTATTTCTATACTGTTTCTCTTGTGCAACCAAGAGTTATCCTCTCTCTCTCTTTTTTTTTTTCCTGTTAGAGAGATCTTTTTGCTAGAGGGCACATGTGCTTGCCAGAGAGACAGAAAGTGAGAAATCACCCACCATGGGGATAGCCACACCACGAGTTCCTTCTTTGAATGTACCTATGTCTGGCATGAGTTTGAAGTCATTGGGTCCAGGACTCTAACCACAGTTGGCCTTGTAGGAGGGAGTCCGGCGACTTAACTGCTTCTCCATCTACTGGCCCCAAGAGTTACTTATTTTGAGATGAGTTGAATTTAAGAACAGAATATCTTATATTTTTCTGCAACTTAAAAATTCTATATTTATTAATTAGATAATACGAAGTATAGTATTTATTTCTAGACTAAAGTATTTTATTAAAGAGTAATATATAACTTTATGCTTGAAAACCCAATCTGTGATAAAATTTGTATTCATTTCTGCTTTTGAACCGCGAAAATAAATTGCCTTTGATATTCTTTTTTTTTTTGAGAGAGTTTTTTGCTATAGGGCACACGCACTTGCCAGAAAGACAGAGAGAGACAGAAAGCAAGAAATCACCCCCTTGTGGGATAGCCACACCACAATGCCGTCTCTATTCTCCTCTCAGGATCTTGGGCATGCACGCATACGTGCCCGCCGTGAGTTTAAGCCACCAGGTGTGGGACTTGAACCGCTGTTGCCTACATGGGAGTCCAGTGACATAGCCATTATACCAACTGCTGGTCCCTAAAGATATTCTTAAATAATAATTTGTGACTAATTTGTATATATTCATTGCCCTTTTTTTTTCTTTTAAGGTCCTATGCTTATATTAGACTGAGTAAATAATCAAATAAATGAAATCTTCAAAAAGTTCATGAAAATTGTATATTATGAATATATTTTGCATCAATTTCATATTTTTTGGCATCAAAACAAAGTTATACTTTAATTCCATTTTTTTCACAAACTTTTGAAGTCTTCTCATATTTAAGTCAACATAGATGTTTAGGAACATAATGATCCACCAGTGATTCCAGTCGCATTTCAGTTCTATTAATGTATCAGTTTGCATCTAACATTCATTTGTTAACCACCTATAGGTTACTGTTGTGGACGCTGGGCTAAGGGCTAAGAATAGAGAGCTGAATGAGACACCATTCCTTTCAAACTTAATAGTAACCAGGTGTATTTTTAGGTGTACGAAATTTTCAAAAATACTGATACAACACAAGTGTTTTTGCTCTGAGAATCTAGAGAATAAATAGAAATTTGCCAAACTAGGTAGACGTGATTTCTGTACATGAGAATACACATGTGTGAATCAATAGGAAACCAGAGAGGTTTTTTTGTTTGTTTGTTTGAGAGAGATTTTCGCTGTAGGGTGTGGATGCTTGATGGAGAGACAGAGAAAGAAGCGAGAAATCACCCCCCAGGAGGGATGGCCACACTACAATCCCTTCTCATTCATTTTCTCTTGGGATTTTGGGCACACATGCAAACGCACCCAGTGTGAGTTTTATGCCACTGGATCCTACTAGAGAATTATTTTAAAATAAATGGACAGTGGGGAGTCAGTGGTAGAAGTGTAGAGGCTGTGGGAGTTACTATGAAAGATGGTAGTCCCACATAAAGGAAAAGGCAGTAAAAAGAAAACAAGAGAAAAGATGATTTGAAAACATTTCATGATGCTGGTCAAATTAAAATAAATAAATAAATAGATAGATAAATAAAGCTCAATAAAATAATTATTAAAAAAAAGAAGGGGGAGGACAGCAGGTGGCATGATGGATAAGGGCACTGGACTCCCACATGGCCAACCATAGTTCGAGTCCCGGACCTGGTGGCTTGCTTTCTCACTTTCTCTCTCTCTCTCTCTCCCTCTCTGGTCAAATTAAAATAAATAAGTAAATAAATAAATAAAGCTCAATAAAATAATTATATTTTTTAAAAAAAAAAACATTTCATGATGAAACTTACTTGGTTTGGAAGGTGAGTACAAAGGCAGTCTAGGGGGCCAGCAGGTGGCATGGAAATTAGGGTGACTGGATCCCACATGACAGACAGCATGATTTGAGTCCCAGACCCTGTGGCTTGAAAAATATTCTGGGAATATGTGTGTGTGCCCAAAATCCTGAAAGAAGAATGGAGGAGAAGGGATTGCAGTGTGACCATCTCTCTAGAGGGTAACTTCTCACCACCTTCCCCCTACCCCCACAAGTGCACATGCCTTATTCGACTGTGGTTCAAGTCCTTGTCCTGACAGCTTAAAAATAACACCAGGCATGTGTGTATATGCATGCCCAAAATCCCAGGAGGAAACTGGAGGAGAAGGAATTGTGGTGTGGCCATCCCTGCCAAGGAGTGATTTATCACTTTTCCCTTGCACTGTCTCTGTCTCTAGTGAGTATTTCTCTCTCTGTTGAGTATTCATGTCCTATGACAAAAAACTAAAGAACAAACTATGATAAAAAGGAGTCTGAGGGACCAGTAGTTTGCATAATGGCTATGTTGCTGAACTCCCATGTAGTCGATTGCGGTTCAAGTCCCGGACCCAGTGACTTAAACACGCCAGGCGTGTGTACGTGCATACCCAAGATCCTGAGAGGAGAATGGAGGAGAAGGGATTGCGGAGTGGCCATCCTCCCAGGGGGTGATTTCTCGCTTTCTGTCTCCCTGTCTCTCTTTCTGGTGAGCGCATGCATCCTATAGAAAAAAAAAAAGAAAACCTCTCCAACAACAACAACAAAAAAGGAATCTGAGGAGATTTCCAAGTTTATGAGTGGATAGTCGTACCTTTTATGTTCTCTGTCATAGGGAGCCTGTTCAGAGGTAAAGAATAAGGGCGTGAGGATTGAGAGAGATGAGCTATCTGAAATATCAGGCATAAAATGTAGGTAAACACAAATGGAACTCTAACGGAGAAGCCAGAACTTAGGACAGAGGAGGTTAGGAATTCTTACCTATGGAAAGTTACTGAAATTGTGGGACCAGATGGAATTTTCAGTTGCTAAAGAGACAAAGTTTAATATTATTCTCATCTTTTTTGTTAATAAATAAACCTTTCTTATATTTAATTTTTAAAAAGTGTAAATTGACTGAAATTATGCCTTTATGTTATCTACTTTCATTTTGCATACTAAATTGTTTATTTTGAAGTTAAAGTAAAAAGCTAATTACTGTTTTACTAGAGAATTTCTACTCAAGAATGTGAGGTTAACACCTGCTATGATGCTAAAAAAAATTTGTCGTTTTAATTTAAATATAAATTGGTTCAATTGTCTTTTGTTTCTTTTTTTGGTTTTGTTATATGGTGAGTGCGCTCACTGTATACACAGAGGAGGCTAAAGTAAAAAAGTATCCACCAATGGGGATGGCCACACTGCAACCCTTTCTCCTCCATTCTTCTCTTGGGATTTTGGACACACTTGCATATGCACCGGAGTATTTTTCAAGCCACTGGGTCCAGGACTCCAAACCACACAGTTGGTCATGTGGGAACCAGCTGTCTTCACCACCATGCCACCTGCTGGCCCTGTTTTTCATTCTTACCTAAAAATTGACAGAGATCAGTTCTTCCTAATTTAGAAACTGGCGCTAGCAGGAGGCATGGTGGTTAAGGGTGCTGGACTCTGACATGACTGACCATGGTTTGCGTCCCAGACCTGGCAGCTTGCTTTTTCTCTCTCTCTCACTCTGTACCTCTATGGTCAAATTAAAATAAATAAAGTTAAATAAAAAATTTTTAAAAAAACCCTGAAAGTTATACTTTTTTCTTTTGCTTACTTCTTCCATGCAAGAGAGAGCAAGAGCTAGAGACAGGACCCCAACAGGGTCCTGAAACCATGATCCACCCCCGGTCAACTCCAGATTGTGGATACAGGTGTACTTGAGAAGTGTCAAACTCAAAGCCTTGCCATGTGGGTCAGCCTTTCAGAGTATAGTGTTTTACCATTGCACCACCATCTAGCCTCTCTTTCATTTATTTATTTACAATTTGTTTGTTTGATGAGAGAGAAAGAGAAAGGCACCCCTGAGTGGATCTTGCTGTACTGTGATCCTCCCCCAGCCTCCCAGACAACCAGAATCATAGTTGTCTACAGACACAATTGACATGTTTAGGTTGGCCTGGGATCCAAACCTGGGCCTCCTGTATGACCGTACCATTTTAAAGTGGTGCCCTGCTGCCTGTGCCACAGTGGGCCATTATATATTTCTGTATGGTGCGCCAAAGGTATGTCTTCAGCAACAGGCAGTTTTGGCAACCATTGTCTATACTTGCTGATGGAGAATATTAGAGAATAAGGCTACCTGACTAGCAGGAATTATTTAAGTAATAAACTGTAAGATTTATTAATTTATATTTGGAAAATTTTATTCAAGAAAAAATAAAAGTTACCACTTTATAGCACATATCCAAAGTCTCGGGAAATCTAAGATAAATTATTGAGCCAGTTCTGGAGAGGATTAAGGGACAGTATTAATAAGCTGATATGAGTTCCTGGGTACTCATGATTTTTCTGATTAAATGAAAGTTGAGTCTGCTTAGATAGTTAAAAAAGGAAAGAAATGGCATTTTGCCTAAAGATTTTTGAGGGCAAGTCCTATAGCACAGTGGTTAAGGCGGTTGGGTCCTACATGGATGACTGAGGTTCAAATACTTGCCTTGGTGGCTTTAAAAACATATCAGGCACATGTGTGTGCTTGTGCAAAATTCTGACAGGATGGAAAAATGGAGGTAAAGAAATTGCCACAAGACCACTCCCCATTGAAGGCTGCTTTTTCTCTCTCTGGCAAGCATAGGTACGAAAAAAACCCCTTATTTTTGATACATTATTGATAATTTGAAATTCTTTTTTTTTTGGAGATGCTTTTGCTGTATGGTATGCGTGCTCGCCAGAGAGACAGAGAGACAGAAAGTAAGAAATCACCCCTCAGGGGGAATGGACATGCCGCAGCCCCTTCTCCTCCATTCTTCTCTCGGGATCTTGGGCATGCAAGCACACATGCCTGGCATGAGTTTAAGCCACTGGGTCCGGCACTCAAACTGCGGTTGACTACATGGGAGTCCAGCCACATAGCCATTACACCAACTGCTGGTCCTGATAATTTGTAATTCTTTTAAGAATTATAGTATGACATATCCATTTACAATGTAGCTGCCTAAATGATTTGTCAAATGTAAAAAAAGGAGAGTGAGAGGAAGGTGCTAACCCACTTTCTTTTCTAAACTGGTGATAGTGTAACCATGCAAGCCCCCCAAATTGTTAACTCACTAGTTTTTATAGTTTATAACTTTGTAATTGTATCTGAGAATATAGAATTTCCTATCATAATAAGATCAAGAGTGCTCAGATAACTTTGTAAAATGAATTTTATGTATTTGCATCTCCTAAAAGTTAAATCTTGATTTAAATGTATTGACACATCAGAATTCCTTTTGGTTATAAAATAAATTACTGTGGGGAGAATGATAAATGTAACTTGGAAAATATAAAATTTAGTATTTGTTATGTCATTTAAACTTCTTTATATGTTTTTGATAGTAAGGTAATTTTCCTTTTGTCTTGATCAGCTAAGTCATAATATTAAAAATGTGGTGCTTCGACCCAGTGGAGCAAAACAAAGCCGCCTAATGTTAACTCTTCAAGATAACAGCTTCTTGTCTATTGACAAAGTACCAAGTAAGGATGCAGAGGAAATGAGGTTGTTTCTAGATGCAGTCCATCAAAACAGACTTCATGCAGGTGAGCACTAATTATTCCATCTTCCGACTAGCATTCTGACTAGCATTTTTTAAAAAAAATAACTACACTGTAGACCTATATCCTTGATTAATATTAATACAGAAATCCTTAGCAAAATAATAGAGGGCAATCCATTTTCTAGGGTCCCTCCTTTCTCGGGAGCTCTCTTTTTCTTCCCCTCTTTTAATACATTCCCCTCTTTGCTCTATCTACTCTCTGTCTGTGACTCTCATTCTTCCTGAGTGTGGGACAAAAACCCATGTGTCACTACAAGTGTGGACCTGATCACTCTTGCACCCTGGCGTTCCTATCTCAAAAGAACAGACACTTGGGACCAGCAGTTAGTGTAATGGCTATGTCGCTGGACTCCCACGTAGTCGACTATGGTTCGAGTCCTGGACCCGGTGGCTTAAACTCACGCTGGGCGCAAGTGTGTGCGTGCCCAAGATCCCGAGAGGAGAATGGAGAAGAAGGGATTGCGGCGTGGCCATCCCCCCTGGGGGATGATTTCTCGCTTTCTGTCTCTCTGTCTCTCTCTGTCTGGCGAGTGCACGCGCCCTATAGCAAAAACCTCTCAAAATAAAAAAAAAAAGAACAGACACTTAAACTTTGACTTAATAAATAATGTTTAATAATGTTTTAATATTTAGAAATAATTAAAGCATTTAATTCCTATTAGTTAATTTAACACATTATGTCTTTAAAATTTAAACTACTTTGAAAAATGTAAAAATGATGACAAGTTTAATTATAAATATTTACTCTATTTACATGTATCCCATGTATTTGCTTTTAATCATTCTTTTTGAGTTATTTAAGGAAATAAGGCTACTGGAGTTGTTTTCCTTTGAAGTAAAGGAAACCCAAGCTAGCCCTCTATTAGTCTTCTTTTATTTAAAGACTGAGGAACCATGCCACCTGCTGGCCCTGTTTTTTCATTCTTACCTAAAAATTGACAGAGATCAGTTCTTCCTAATTTAGAAACTGGCGCTAGCAGGAGGCATGGTGGTTAAGGGTGCTGGACTCTGACATGACTGACCATGGTTTGCGTCCCAGACCTGGCAGCTTGCTTTTTCTCTCTCTCTCACTCTGTACCTCTATGGTCAAATTAAAATAAATAAAGTTAAATAAAAAATTTTTAAAAAAACCCTGAAAGTTATACTTTTTTCTTTTGCTTACTTCTTCCATGCAAGAGAGAGCAAGAGCTAGAGACAGGACCCCAACAGGGTCCTGAAACCATGATCCACCCCCGGTCAACTCCAGATTGTGGATACAGGTGTACTTGAGAAGTGTCAAACTCAAAGCCTTGCCATGTGGGTCAGCCTTTCAGAGTATAGTGTTTTACCATTGCACCACCATCTAGCCTCTCTTTCATTTATTTATTTACAATTTGTTTGTTTGATGAGAGAGAAAGAGAAAGGCACCCCTGAGTGGATCTTGCTGTACTGTGATCCTCCCCCAGCCTCCCAGACAACCAGAATCATAGTTGTCTACAGACACAATTGACATGTTTAGGTTGGCCTGGGATCCAAACCTGGGCCTCCTGTATGACCGTACCATTTTAAAGTGGTGCCCTGCTGCCTGTGCCACAGTGGGCCATTATATATTTCTGTATGGTGCGCCAAAGGTATGTCTTCAGCAACAGGCAGTTTTGGCAACCATTGTCTATACTTGCTGATGGAGAATATTAGAGAATAAGGCTACCTGACTAGCAGGAATTATTTAAGTAATAAACTGTAAGATTTATTAATTTATATTTGGAAAATTTTATTCAAGAAAAAATAAAAGTTACCACTTTATAGCACATATCCAAAGTCTCGGGAAATCTAAGATAAATTATTGAGCCAGTTCTGGAGAGGATTAAGGGACAGTATTAATAAGCTGATATGAGTTCCTGGGTACTCATGATTTTTCTGATTAAATGAAAGTTGAGTCTGCTTAGATAGTTAAAAAAGGAAAGAAATGGCATTTTGCCTAAAGATTTTTGAGGGCAAGTCCTATAGCACAGTGGTTAAGGCGGTTGGGTCCTACATGGATGACTGAGGTTCAAATACTTGCCTTGGTGGCTTTAAAAACATATCAGGCACATGTGTGTGCTTGTGCAAAATTCTGACAGGATGGAAAAATGGAGGTAAAGAAATTGCCACAAGACCACTCCCCATTGAAGGCTGCTTTTTCTCTCTCTGGCAAGCATAGGTACGAAAAAAACCCCTTATTTTTGATACATTATTGATAATTTGAAATTCTTTTTTTTTTGGAGATGCTTTTGCTGTATGGTATGCGTGCTCGCCAGAGAGACAGAGAGACAGAAAGTAAGAAATCACCCCTCAGGGGGAATGGACATGCCGCAGCCCCTTCTCCTCCATTCTTCTCTCGGGATCTTGGGCATGCAAGCACACATGCCTGGCATGAGTTTAAGCCACTGGGTCCGGGACTCAAACTGCGGTTGACTACATGGGAGTCCAGCCACATAGCCATTACACCAACTGCTGGTCCTGATAATTTGTAATTCTTTTAAGAATTATAGTATGACATATCCATTTACAATGTAGCTGCCTAAATGATTTGTCAAATGTAAAAAAAGGAGAGTGAGAGGAAGGTGCTAACCCACTTTCTTTTCTAAACTGGTGATAGTGTAACCATGCAAGCCCCCCAAATTGTTAACTCACTAGTTTTTATAGTTTATAACTTTGTAATTGTATCTGAGAATATAGAATTTCCTATCATAATAAGATCAAGAGTGCTCAGATAACTTTGTAAAATGAATTTTATGTATTTGCATCTCCTAAAAGTTAAATCTTGATTTAAATGTATTGACACATCAGAATTCCTTTTGGTTATAAAATAAATTACTGTGGGGAGAATGATAAATGTAACTTGGAAAATATAAAATTTAGTATTTGTTATGTCATTTAAACTTCTTTATATGTTTTTGATAGTAAGGTAATTTTCCTTTTGTCTTGATCAGCTAAGTCATAATATTAAAAATGTGGTGCTTCGACCCAGTGGAGCAAAACAAAGCCGCCTAATGTTAACTCTTCAAGATAACAGCTTCTTGTCTATTGACAAAGTACCAAGTAAGGATGCAGAGGAAATGAGGTTGTTTCTAGATGCAGTCCATCAAAACAGACTTCATGCAGGTGAGCACTAATTATTCCATCTTCCGACTAGCATTCTGACTAGCATTTTTTAAAAAAAATAACTACACTGTAGACCTATATCCTTGATTAATATTAATACAGAAATCCTTAGCAAAATAATAGAGGGCAATCCATTTTCTAGGGTCCCTCCTTTCTCGGGAGCTCTCTTTTTCTTCCCCTCTTTTAATACATTCCCCTCTTTGCTCTATCTACTCTCTGTCTGTGACTCTCATTCTTCCTGAGTGTGGGACAAAAACCCATGTGTCACTACAAGTGTGGACCTGATCACTCTTGCACCCTGGCGTTCCTATCTCAAAAGAACAGACACTTGGGACCAGCAGTTAGTGTAATGGCTATGTCGCTGGACTCCCACGTAGTCGACTATGGTTCGAGTCCTGGACCCGGTGGCTTAAACTCACGCTGGGCGCAAGTGTGTGCGTGCCCAAGATCCCGAGAGGAGAATGGAGAAGAAGGGATTGCGGCGTGGCCATCCCCCCTGGGGGATGATTTCTCGCTTTCTGTCTCTCTGTCTCTCTCTGTCTGGCGAGTGCACGCGCCCTATAGCAAAAACCTCTCAAAATAAAAAAAAAAAGAACAGACACTTAAACTTTGACTTAATATATAATGTTTAGTAATGTTTTAATATTTAGAAATAATTAAAGCATTTAATTCCTATTAGTTAATTTAACACATTATGTCTTTAAAATTTAAACTACTTTGAAAAATGTAAAAATGATGACAAGTTTAATTATAAATATTTACTCTATTTACATGTATCCCATGTATTTGCTTTTAATCATTCTTTTTGAGTTATTTAAGGAAATAAGGCTACTGGAGTTGTTTTCCTTTGAAGTAAAGGAAACCCAAGCTAGCCCTCTATTAGTCTTCTTTTATTTAAAGACTGAGGAGCCAGCACATGGCATTGTGGTTCGAAGTGCTGGACCCTCATGTGGCCAGTGGTGGTTCGAGTCTCAGATCTGGTAGCTTGCTTTCTCACTTTCCCTCTCTCTTTGTTTCTCTCTGATCAGACTGAAAAATAATAATAAATAACATTAAATAAAATAATTTTTAAAAAAAGAAATAAAGACTGAATTACTGGACATAAGAGGATTTTGCATGCATTCTAAGCTTTTGTCTATGTGGCACCCACCCAGGATGGCTATTTAGAACAGAGGCCATTTGGGTCCTTGATTCACATGCCAAAAATTCTTTTCTTTTTTTTTTTTTTAAGAATTAATTTAATTTAATCATTTATTTTATTTTAATTTGACTAGAGAGAGACATTCACACAAAGAGGAGAGAGAAAGTGAGAAAGCAAACTACCAGGTACGGGACTTGAACCATGGGCAGCCATATGGGAGTGTCCAATGCCTTAACCACCACACCACTTGCTGATCCCCACATGCTAAAAATTCTGAAGACATTTAAATTTATATTTATAATTTAAAATTAGTTTTACTGGGACCCGCAGGTGGCATGGTGGATAAAGGCACTGGATTCACACATGGCCGACCACGGTTTTAAGTCGCAGACCTGGTGATTTGCTTTCTTGCTTTCCCTTTCTCTTTCTCGTCAAAGTAAAAAATAATAAGTAATAAATAAGTAAGTAATTCTGTAAAAATTAAAAATTATTTTTACTGGAGATTTGTTTTTGAGGGGAGAGGTTTTTGCTCTGAGGAATGTGCCCTCATCAGAAAGACGAAGACAGAGAGACAGAGAGTGAGAAATCACCCCCCGCCAGGGGAGATGGCCACACCTCAATCCCTTCTCCACTCTCCTCTCAGGATCTTGGGCACGCATGCACACACGCCTGGCGTGAGTTTAAGCCACTGGGTCTTAGACTCAAACAGTGGTCAACTA